CCTCGGCCTCCCAAAGTGCTGGGATTACAGGCTGAGCCACTGAGCCTGGCCTCTCTAATTTACTTTTGAATAAACTATATTTTCTAATCTTACTTCTGTGCAATTCTTTGCATGTTTCATGTGGCATCAGATCGCACCCCAGACATCCACACCCCCAGCGGGCCTGACCTAACTTTATGGAGGCCCCACTAGGAAAGTGTGACCCTAACATTTTTGGAGGTCCCACCAAGATATGCTGCTCTCTCGCTCTCTCTCATTCTCCTTTCCACCGAGACCTACTGCCCTCTCTCTCCTCTCCAAAAGTCCTTAAATATACCCATTTTGTGACTCTTCAAGGCCGCACTTGCCTTTGAGTGTCGACCCCCTTTCCAATCTGTGAAAGGTGAATAATAAAGCTTACTTTTTTCTACTTTCTTAAAAAAAGTAGATTAGAGAAAGAGAGAAGATCCACCTCCCCAAGGTAGGAGAAGGACCCAAAGCTTAGAAGACACGATGGCCACAGCTCAAAGAGCTCTGTGGAAACACCAGAGTTTAACACAACAATGATGGCTTTTAAACTTTCCCTTTAATGGGGGAAGTTCTTTAAGATGATTGGGTAGTGATCTGTTCCATATCATCACGGAGTGCAGGTACTCAGAAATCACTGAAGTCAGGTGATGGACAGCAGGGTTAGTCACATGACGCGTGCCATGTTGAGGGGGTCTGTGCTGAAGGTCATGAATAGCTGATTAGAGTAACTTGTTTATGAAACAAGCTGGGGAGGGGGTTGTAAAGTAGTTACCAATAGCTACCTTTGAGCAACTGGTTCTGTCCTTGCCTAGTGATTAGATGATAAAGTGAACTGCTAGAGAAACATGACAACTAGACAGTGTAAAAATGGCTGCTCATTGGCTATATTGACTCCATGTCTTTTCACTAATGCTAGGCCAAAATACTAAGAGATCTGAACATTAGCCTCTTTTTTTTTTTTTTTTTTTTAGTTGCACAGGCTGGAGTGCAGAGGGGCACGCTCGTGGTCACTGCAGCCTCGACGTGCTGGGCTCCAGTGATTCTTCTGCCTCAGCCTTTCAAGGAGCCAGAACTACAGGCGAGCACTATCACACCCGGCTCATTTTTTGGTTTACTGTAGAGATGAGGTCTTGTCAGGTTGCTCAGGCTAGTCTCAGGCAATTCACTTGCCTTAGTCTCCCAAAGTGCTGGGATTACAGGCCGAGCCACTGAGCCCGGCCTAACATGAGCCTCTTAATTAGCAATCTTCAAAATAATTTTCTCTTATAAACAACAGAGGGTGGTAGGAAAAGACAAATTCAGCTAGCCCCCCTGTCCCTGCTGTTTTTGTTAAAAAAAGCAAGGGTTTTTTTTTTTTAACTTTTAAAAAGTGAGGTTGAGCCGGGCTCGGTGGCTCAGCCTGTAATCCTGTGCTTTGGGAGGCTGAGGTGAGTGGATTGCCTAAGCCCGCGGGCTCGAGACCCGCCTGGGCAACTTGGCGAGACCTCATCTCTACAATAAATTAAAAAAT